AGTTGTTTGAGATGTCATATGTTGTCACTTGTGGTTGTCAAACATGCCCTCAGTGTCCAAAAAATGAGTGCTATATTTCATGTTTGACCAAACCAGAGTTAATGAGTTCTACAAATTGCAACTAACATGTAAAATTCAGGAGTGAGGTCACACTTCTTAGAAAGCAGAGGTATACGCCAATCTGCACATCTGTTAATGACAATAAAACAACACAATTTTTTAGGGTATTCTAGAAGCCTAGGACAATTTTTCTGTTGTTGCTATTAGGTGCTTTCCTCATTTATTTCTAGTCCAGGGATTTACTGTATCTTAATTAAATTTTTAATCCTCTTGTGGAACTAACTCATTTATGAGAGCTTTAAAAACTTAGATAGATATTCTTTCCCTTAGGAGCTAGACTTGAATTGCCTTGGCATTTGGTTGGGAGCTCTGCGGGAACTGTTGGCAAGCAGATCCTATTTGATATGCCCATGGTGGACCATTGGCGACCTTTGACCACTGTCCTTGGCCACACTCTCCATGCCTATGGGACTGGAAAAGGGCGAATTGGTCAAACCAACACTCACACTTTAATTGGGTAAAAAAAGATAGGTCATTGCTCAAGAAAATCCAGTTCAACTGTAGGACTTGGCTTACTTTTTTTTTAAAGAGAGTTTGTTTTTTTTTTTGTTCTAGGGCATGTATGCTTGCTGGAGACAGAATGAGAAACCATGCCTCAGAGGGGATGGCCACACCACAGTCTGTTCTAATTCTCCTCTCAGTACTTTGGCCACACACACACACACACACACACACACACACACACACACAAGCCCCGGCATGGGTTTCAAGCTGCCTAGTCCTGGATTCAAACCGTGGTTGGCCATGTGGGAGTCCAGCACTTTAACCGCTATGCTACCTGCTGACCCCTTAACTTGCATTTTAAGGGCCAGCTGCAGAGAACAAAGTCCTTTCTTAATACCAGGATATTATCAAGTATTAAGTTTTCATTAGTCATCACATTTCAGTTTATCCTGCTGCCGAAGTGCCTTGGGTGGTGATCCATAGATCTCTTAGTTGTTCTCGATTTTCTTGTAAAGGCCATAACTTTTGGTGGAGAACTCTCTCTCCCTCAGTCACCAAAACAAATCTTTCAGTTATCTGGCTTCCCTTGTATCTCAGTGTGATTTCACTGAACCACATAACCTTGGTGCTTCAGAATTACAGACCGGTTGTAGAATGCAGTAACTTGCCACAGTTAAGACTGCCTACTTTTCCATCTGATCCGAATTTCAGAAGCGACCAGTCATCTTTGCATTTGTGCGTCGTAAACCATGTTTTAAAGCAATTGCAGCAGGGTACTTTTGAACTGAGGAACTGAAAAAAAAAAAGTATCAGCTGTGTACTTTGAGCCCAATAAGATTTATAGTACATTTAAATAGTGCACACATTTGTGTGTGCACATGCGTGTGTACCGTGAAGACGCTCCACCGCTGCTATGGCAGAACCTCTTCACAGGTCCTTATTTGCCCTCTCATAGTTTCTGTGGATGTATTTTTTTTTTTAATTTTGCAAAGGGAAATAAGAACTTACATGTCCCTATTCCAACCTCTTAGAAAAGTTGTGTGTGATTCATATTGTCCGTAGTATCTTTATTTGTTTTTAACCAAGCACATCTTAGAGAACTTGGAGTATAGGCACTAAGAACTTCTTAGAACTTTTTCGTAACTGCTCTGTAACATTCCAGTGGTGGAAAGGGCTGTAATTTATAATAGGCCTCCCCAACCCCTGTGACTTAAAAAAAAAAAAAAAAAAAAAAAAAGACTAACTTTTTTAGTGATGTAAATTTAGGAGTATAGGTGTGGATACAAGGTTATTTTGGTGCACAAATTTTAAATATATGCATAGCATTTTCCATAATATGCCTTTTCAATGAAGTTTTTGAAGACCCCACGGGTATTTTATTTAGAGAGTTTGAGTTTTAAAAATAATTTCTTTTTCCTTTCCTTGTCTCTTGAATATACATCTGAGTGACTTTTTTAGCCCCTTCCCTGAATTTTTCTGTCAGAACATAATGGGGTGGGGGTGGAGGTGGAGGTGGGACCAGTTTAATAGTGTACATATGTTTGTTTTGTGAAATAGTTCTTAACACAACCATTAAGTATATATTGGTATTTAATAAATAACCTCATGACATTGTCAAGATTGGAAGTGGCCATAAATGTCTCCAGATTGGGTGGCAGTACTAGTTTCCTAGCATTTTGAGTGTCTGAAATGCATATTGTGGAGGAGTGCGAGGCTGGCTGTGGGGCCTGGAGCGGGCCTGGAGGGGAGGGTGCTGTCCGCGGTGCTGATTCTGCTCCGATGCGGCTCTGAATGGTGGACAGAGAAAAGGCTCCGAGATCAGGAAGGCCGAGCACACACCGACGTAGCCATTTAACAAAACACGTCTCCAGCCAGCCCAGGACTTAATGATTTCTGGTTTTTTGTTTATTGCGCCAGGGGAAGTTGACCCGTGAGGGACCAGCCTTAGTCACCATGAGCTTTTGTGACGTGTGGAAGAATGAGTAGGTTTAAGTGGAAGTAGGAACCTATTTAAACTGTAAACTCTTGCCATAATTCATTCTACTTTTAAATCAAGGAGCTGTGTCACTGTAAAAGAAAATTATGTTTTTAATTAATGAATGGAAATAGTAATCAGAATGTTACAGTTGGAGTTTATACCTTACTTGCCAGTCATTACTTAAAGGTTTCAAATACAAGCTTCTAATTATGTTTTCTAAGCCAAATTTTAGCAGGCATTTAGATGACAAAACCATTTATCCATTTCTGAATAGTTTCCAAACTCTTATATAACAATGCAGTAATTGTCCAATGACACTTGGAGGATGACAATTTTTTTTAAGGCACTGGCATGTATCTGTAGTAAAAGTTAAAAATGCTGTTCTAATGTATATGTATCACAACTAACATCAATAAATTTTTTTTTGTAGGATTAGATTTATGTTTGTATATGTGTAATAACTACTTCTGCAACAGAATTTTTTATAGGATTTTTTTTTAATTGCCAGAGAGAGAGAGCGTGCGCGTGCACGTGCGAACAAGCACGTGTGCAAGCATGACCATACACAACACCCATGGGTTGTGATCATGCTGTAATCCCTTCCCCTTTAATTCTGCATCATGAAAATTCTAGAAATTCACACACATGCACCCCTCATCACTTTCAGCCCATGGGGCCGGAATTTGAACCAGGTTGGGGATTGGTCAAGTAGGATCCAGCTCACTCAACCACTAAGCTAAAGCTGGCCCTGTAGGGTTGTGTTCTGAAACCCATTGCAAAAATAGGAACTTCACATCAATGGTTTCAGGGTTCTTAAACTTAAGTCCATTAGTCGTTGTAGAATAGGAATTAAATAAGAAATTTTGCTTTAAGATTTTTTAAATTTTGCTTTAATAATTATTTAAGTTTATTTATTTATTTATTCACTCATTTACTTATTTCAGTTTGACCAGAGAGGGGGAGAGAGAGAGAGAGAAAGCAAGCTGCCAGGTCCAGGACTTGAACTGAGATCGGCCATGTGGGAGTCGAATGTCCTTAACCACCACACCCCCTGCCGGCTCCTGCTTTAAGATTTTTATACTGGATTTTTTTTTTTTTTTTAAAAGTCAATATATTTTCCTATTTTTTTTAATGCAAAATGTCATGAGTTTCCTGATGACTCAGTACATAAATATCATAGTGAATGGAGCAGATTATTCTGTGATGTTTAATGTGTTCCAATTCCACTTAGCTGTTAAAATAATAATAATAACAACAACAACAATGACTACTTTTTGCTGTAAGGTGCACATGCTCACCAGAAATGCCGGGGTGAGAAATCACCTCCCTCTCCCAGGGAGTTTTGACATGCATGCACATGTGTCAGGCATGTTTTTCAGGCCATCAGGTCTGGGACTCAAAACTGTGCAGCTGGGCTTATGGGATCCAGTGCCACCTGCTGACCCATATTTAAGTTTGTTGTTGGACACATGTGCTTGCCTGGGAGAAAGAGAGTAAGAAAGAGTGATAAAACACTGTAGCACCCTCTGGAGTGATGGCTATGCCACAGTCCCTTTTCCATTCTCTCAGAATTTTGGGCATGCACGCACACGTGCCTGGCATGTTCTTTAAGCTGCCAGGTCCAGAAATTAGACTGTGCAGTTGGCCATGTGGATCTAGCTGCCTTTACCACCACTCCACTGGTTGGCCCTTTTTAGCACTTGGAAAGTAATGAGTGGGATCAGCAGATGACGTAGTGGTTAAGGTGTTGCACTTCTACATGGCTGACTGCGCAGTTTGAGTTTCCGACCTGCTGGCTTGAAAATCATGCTCCCAAAATTCCAGGAGAAGAATGGAGGATAAAGAGTTACGGCATAATCACACTCCCTCCCAGGCTGGTGGGGTGGGAGAGTGATTTCTCACTGTCTCTCCAGCAAGCCTACATCCCCATGGCAAAAAAACTAATAAAAAGAGGAATGAAACCACATTTCATGAAAAAATATAGTAAATATCTTTGCATTAGAATGAGTTTTTATTATGCTACAGTTGGAATTTTGTGATTAGAAATGATCAGAAGTGGGCTGGAACCATAGCACAGTGATTAAGGGCTGTGTATAGAAAGCCAGATACCAAATGACAAACCATGGTTCAAATCCTGGCCCTGGAGGCTTAAATAACACACCAGGCATGTGTGCGTGAAAGCCCAGAATCCCTGTGGGATGGAGTAGAATGGTTCACAGTATGACCACATCCCATGGTTTTGTTTTGTGTGTGATTTTTTTTTTTTAATCATCAGAAGTGTAAACTTATTTTTCTTTTCTTTCTTTTTTTTTTTTGCATTTTCTTTCATTTATTTATTTTTACACTTTTCCACAAATATTTACTTTACATATCAAAAAGTTTTAGCTCATACTCCATAGTATTTTTGTTTTCTTAATCCAAGCCGTGAAGGTAAAATCCATGGAATTTTTTTGTTTTAAAGCTGGAGATACGGATGACCCACCAAGAATTACGCAAAACCCTGTTATCAACGGGAATGTGGCCCTGAGTGACGGCCATAACAACACTGAGGAAGATATGGAGGATGGTAAGTACAGGCTGTTGGCTTCCTCACAGCGGGCAGAGCGCTCTCAGAAACACAAGCAGATTTGATCCAGGCTTTTTCCTTGAGCGCTTTTGAGTTTAAGAGTAGTTAGTTTTCAGGAAGGTGTATCCGAGGGAAACCTAGTGTCCTGTTCTGGTTTTGAGTTTCAGTATTGCCTAAATAATTTCAAGGTAAGTTGATTTTTCCCTATCCGGGCAAGAAGGCCTATCTACAGAAGTGTGTGGCAGGCGGGATCTCCAGCCTCCATTAGACCTCAGGACAAGCTCTTCTTACTCTCCTTACCTTTTCGTTTGCAGCGAGGTACCTCCAGACCCTGGGACATGGCTTTTCGTTGCATTCTCATTGTAGTGCGTTTATCAGTTGTTTGTAGCTGGTAATGATAATCCCACCTGCTCCTGTTAGGTGTCAGATCAGAGTCAAGCTCTGGGCTTCATTCTCCCACACTAACTTTTGATCTATAGCGTCTGTGTAAAACAGCACATGCTTATATACAAGTGTGGACATTTTGTGTCTGGAAAACTTTTTCTTTCTTTTGAGACCATTTCTTCTTTATAATTTACCAGATTATGTGACCTAAATGTTTTGGAAGGTCAAAGGCAGCAGCCAGTAATTGCTTTATGCAGCCCCTGGAATCTTGCAGTGTTGTTTGAAACCATGTTCTGTCAAAGGCATGTCCATCAATCCTCATGAGGGTTGTGTCCTTCCCAGGGTAGTAACGGGGCAGTTGAAAGACACCATCAGTCACGGCTGCACCGCCAGAAGGACTGCTGTTCAGACCTCCTGCCAAAGTTCAGCCTCCGCGCGAAACTGCAGCCGTAGTTGAGAGTTCTCTCACAGTGCGGTTTACCCCCTGGCAGCTGGCTGAGGCAATATCTGAGGAAGGTAAAGAGGCGTGGTCTACACCCGCTGCTTTGTTCCCCCTGGAGTGCGCTTCCCACTAGACCCAGGGCAACGGTGTGGGTGTGGTCTCTTCGGTTGTTGGGCTTTTGGTGGTTTCATTTCATGCATCAGTGATGCCAAAAGTGAGGCAGGGAGCGCATTTGGGAGGCAGAGCCAGATGTGATGAGCCAGGTGTGTACTGGGATCAATTCCGGTCACTCTCAGTCTGGTTTCCACAGAGCAAATTCACGCTTCCCCATTTGTTTAGGGCGGAGGGTTTGGCAGGAGTCACAGCTGTTGATAGAAGGCAGTTTCTCAGCTTCTGTTGATATTTTGGGGAATAGTCCTTCGTGGGGAGGGGGCTGACCTGTGCATGACAGGATGCCAGTATTCCCACGCCCACTGCACAGGCACTACCACCAGAACTATCCTAGATGCTTCCAGTGCCTCAGTGGAGAATCACAGTTATGAGACCATAGCGTAGGTCAGATCCCATTACTTTTTTTTTTTTTTTTGGAGAGATTTTCACTGTAGGGCTGTGCACTCGCCAGATAGACAGACATAGAGACAGAAAGCGAGAAATCACCCCCCAGGGAGGATGGTCACGCCGCAATCCCTTCTCCTCCACTCTCCTCTCGGGATCTTGGGCACGCACGCACATGCGCCCGGCGTGAGTTTTAAGCCACCGGGTCCGGGACACGAACCGCGGTCGACTACGTGGGAGTCCAGCGACATAGCCATTACGCTCACTGCTGGTTCCTGGATCCCGTTACTTTTGAGGGAGCTTTTTACCAAATCACTAGTATTAGTAATCAGTGGCACCGAAGCATAGGGACCTAAAAGTGGAAATGCCTTGTCGTGGCTTCCTAACAGAAAAAACATAAGAGAAAGTAGAACAATCTCCATAGCACTTTCTTCCTGGTTTGAAATTTTAGTTGCCTTCGAAAGGGCCAACTGTGGGTAAGAGAGATCATATCTCTCTGATGGCAAAGGGCTTGGGAGGGAGATGGTTTTGGTGCTAGGAGCAGAATTCTTGGTTCAGGGCAACAATTTTCTAGCTGCGATAGGTATTGTGAACACGCTTCTGAAGGTACAAGTGTGTTGTGAAAGTGTTCAGAATTCCAGGAAGTTTGATGAATGCTCGGTTAAATGAGTTTCTTTTAACAACAACAAAAAAATTGTATGGGATGTGGGCACATCATGCTCGTGGAGACGAGCAAGAGCTCCAGAAAGCACACCCTCCTGTGGGGTGTGGTCATGCCACGACCCCTGTTCCTCCATCCTGCCTTGCTCTCAGGATTTTGGGCATGCACGTACATCTGTCCAGCATGTTTCTCAAGCTGACATATCTGGGACTTGAACCATGCCACCAGTTATGTGGGATCCAGTCACCGTAACCACCAGGCCACTGGCTGGCCCTAAATGAGTTTCTTTACTCTGCAGAGTGTATCCGAGCTGTCATTATTCCTAATGTACATTGCTTCTCCAAAAGAATTTTTAATTAATGATTCCCAAAGACTGAATTTCAGAACACTTTCTCCTTAATCTCCTTTTAGCAGTTCAGACTAGGACACACAATCTGGGAAACACTGGATTAGAATTTTTTTGTAGCCAAACTATTAGTGACTTGACTGATCGGCAGAAAGGTTTTTGTTTTGTTTTTGTTTTTTTTAGTAAGGGAAATTTCTCCTATAAGAAGTTACATAGTTAACAATGCAAAGATAAATGGAAAAATGTATAGCCAAGGGAGAGAGCACTTGAAAATCTTTTTTTTTTTTTTTTTGGAGAGGTTTTTCACTATAGTGCGTGCGCTCGCCAGACAGAGAGAGACAGAGAGACAGAAAGCGAGAAATCACCCCCCAGAAGGGATAGCCACACCGCAATCCCTTCTCCTCCATTCTCCTCTCGGGATCTTGGGCACGCACACACATGCGCCTGGCGTGGGTTTTAAGCCACCGGGTCCGGGACACGAACCACGGTCGACTACGTGGGAGTCCAGCGACATAGCCATTACGCTAACTGCTGGTTCCCTTGAAAATCTTGTTAACATAGGATTATAGGCAAATATCATTTATTTTCTAGTCATTTCTACTTTCTCAACTTGTATTTTATCGTTCATTGTTTTTCCTTAGATGACCAAGAAAGGTTGTAGACTAGATACAGCTTCTGAAGACCCAGACGTGTCTAGCTAGAGATTGTAGATACCTATAAAACTAAAGGTAGTTCCTGGAGCTACTGGGAGCTGTAAAAGCTTGCAGCTGGTGCTGTGGTGGTTAAGGTGACTGGATCCCATGTGGGTAGCCGTGAGGTTTCAGTCCTGCACCCTGTAGTTTGAGGAACATGTCATGTTTATGCATATGCATGCCCAAAATCTCAAAAGGGAAAACAAAGAAGGGATTGCAGCGTGACTGACCCCCATGGGTGGTGCTTGCTCGCTCATTCTCTGGCATGTGTCCTATAGCAAAATCTGGAAAAAGAAAAAAAAAGAAAAAAAAAGTTGCATTAGAAAGAATAATTGAGGTTTGGTAAAAATTACTATAGGAGTGCCATTTGGGGAGGTTTTAGGCTAACCTTTCTGATTCAGAAATCTGAAGTCCATACTTCTGTGCTTTCTTAATGGCACCAGAACCCAGGCTGATCCGCCATTGGCCTTCACCCTGTGAAGATCAGCTTTGTGTGAGAATGGGCACGGGGGACCCGTGGACTGTGATAGGTCACAGCTGCCCTGCTGCAAGGGTCTCCTGGGCATGTCAGATGGGAGCGGGCTGTCGAGGTGTCTGGTGACGTGTGATGACATATGACGACGCAGTTAGTAGAAGCTGTTCTTCCTGTCATGTACCAGAGGAGGAAGCCTGGAGGAATGACACGGTGCTCTGTTGGAGCCAGTGGCATCTAGGCCAGTCAGTCTATTCTGTAGGGAGTGGGTGATCTTTTTATAGGGCGCGTGTGCTCCAGAAAGTGAGAAATCACCCCCTGGTCACGCCGCAATCCCTTCTCCTCCATTCTCGACTCTTGGGATCTTGGGCACGCACGCACATGCGCCCGGCATGAGTTCTAAGCCACCGAGTCCGGGATGCGAACCGCAGTGACTACATGGCAATGTAGCAACATAGCCATCACGCTAACTGTTGGTTCCCAGGAGTGGGTGTTCTCTATAGCTCCTGGTGTATTTTCTTTTCCCTACCCTTCTCTTCCTCTCCCTCCCTCTCTCCCTCTCTCTCTCCCTCCCTCTCTCCCTCCCTCCCTTTCTCTCTCTTCCTCTCCTTCCCACCCCATCCCTTTCTTTCCTCTCTCCATTTCCTTTCTTCCTTTTCTTTCTTTTTTGCCAGAGGATGCCTCTGCTTACCTGAGAGAGAGAGAGTGGGAGAGGAGGAGAGGGAACACCCCCAAATGGGCCATGGTCATACCATAATTCCTTTTCCATTTCTCCATTCTATCAGGATTTGGGGCATGCATGCACATGTGCCGCCTGGCATGGTTTTTTTCTTTCTTTTTTGTTTTTGGAGAGGTTTTTGCTATAAGGGTGCGTGCGCTCGCCAGACAGAGAGAAGATAGAGAGAGAGAGACATAGAGACAGAAAGCGAGAAATCACCCCCCCAGAGGGGATGGTCACGCCGCAATCCCTTCTCCTCCATTCTCCTCTCGGGATCTTGGGCATGCATGCACACGCACCCGGCGTGAGTTTTAAGCCACTGGGTCCGGGACGCGAACTGCGGTCAACTGCGTGGGAGTCCAGCGACATAGCCATTACGCTAACTGCTGGTTCCCTCCGCCTGGCATGTTTTCAAAGCCTCTAGGCCACGACTCAACCATGTGAGATCTGGCTCCCTTAACCACCAGGCCATGGAGCCAACCCTTTTTACTTTTTTAAAAAAATATTTACCATAGGGCATGTGTGCAAGAGACGGAGAGAAGGAGAGGAAAGGCGTGAGAGCCTTCCCTGTGGGCATGGTCCCACCACTGTCCCTTTTCCATTTCTCCCTGCTTCTGGGATGTTGGGGCTTTCATGCACATATGCTCGTTTTGCAAGGTGTGAGGCCTGGAACTCAAACTGCACATTCAGCCGTGGGATCCAGCTGCTTTAACCACCAGGCCACAGGCTGGCCTGCCTTTTTACTTCTTCAAATTTTGAAATAATTACAGACCCACAGGAAGTTGCAAAGATAGTACAGAGGATCCTGTGTATTGTCTCACTCATGTTCTTGGGGCCTACCCAATCTTATGAAATTCCTCACCGGAGGATAATCCAGAGGCTATGTGTGTAAAAGATAGTTTCAAGTCTGCTTCTCTTCTTCCTAAGTCCCCCAGTCTTCACCTCTTGGTCTTTAACATATATATATATATTTAATTCCCTAAGTGTGTGGAGGCTCTACAGAAAAGGGGGAGAAAGCAAATATTAAAATATTTACCATAGGGCATGTGTGCAAGAGACAGAGAGGAGGAGAGGAAAGGCGTGAGAAATCACCCCCCAGAGGGGATGGTCACGCCGCAATCCCTTCTCCTCCATTCTCCTCTCGGGGCACGGTCATGCTACAACCCCTGTGACTTCTCTATCCTCTTGGGACACACACACACACACACACACACACACACACACACACAGTAGTTTTCAAGTCATGGTGGCCAGCCAGGATTTGAACTGCTGGTGACCTTGTGGAATCTGGCTCTTTTAACTACTAGGCTGTGAGGCTGGTCCAAGATAAATTTTCAGTGATTTATTAGTAAGAAAAAATTAGAGCCACTGAAGTGAATTTTTTTCCTCATGAAATGTCACACTAAACTAGTTAGGATGGTTTGTAAGGTGAACCTGTTCTGAGAAGGTGCCTTGAGAGCCAGGGCAGTGCCAGGTGGGTGCAGAGGCGAAGTGCCACACCACGTCTCACTGTTGTTTGGTTCTGTTTAATATTTAAAAGAGTAATTCAGGAATTTGAAGTGTGGTTAAGAACAAGAAAGCATTTACGACATGTATTGATTCTATGTATGTAAAATCGAATCCTTTAGAGAGCGAAATGGTACAGGACACAGATGGATTAAGACCGAGGTCTAACGTGGGCCTAGAGCTTGTCAGCTTCTCTGGTGACGTCCCATTGGTTGCTCTGTGTGCACATCTCTATGAAGCAGGCACACCAGCTGTCTGGTTTTATTGCGGTCTGCATTTTGTGGAGCGTTATGTTCATCTCCAGGAATGGCATTTTAAAAATCAGAGGCAGGGTCCTTACGCTTAGTGTTTCTCAGCAGGTTTTGGGTGAACTCCAAACTTGAGGAGCCTCAGTTTCCTCACCTCTAGAGTGTGAATTAAGCACCACTTCCCCTCGCCTGCCTTGCAAGGTTTAAATGCTGCCTGCACATGTGTCCATAAAAACACGTGCCCCTCTCAGTAGTGTGATCTCTAACAGGTGTCCTGCTGTACAGTAGAATTTTGTTCCTCGGGGATGAGAGTGGCTCAGACAGACAGCTCGTCTCTGAGGCGGCTCACCCTTCTCTGCTCTCCTTCCGAAATGCCTGTGCTGCACCCCTGGAGCAGGGCGGTGTGGAGTCGGCGGAGATGGGTGCAGAGTGTTAGGGAAGCCCCTAGCCCTCACCGTCACACACGTCGCTTTCCTCCCGTTGGTAAAGAGTACCACCCTCTCACGAGGACTGATGGACATGTTTTCTGAAGAACAAATCCAGTTAGTCAACCCTTGGCGATTTCTGTACACTAGAAGGGGCCCGTGCTGAGCACAGCGTGGTGGAGCTGCAGACTGAAGAGAGGAGCGTGTCCTGACTCTGGCGCTCTTTCCAGGTCTCCAAGTCTCCTTTTGAGCTTTTGGACTCTGGTGTCAGGGGACGCCACACAGTGCCCTGTTCTAAGCCAGGACTACCCCTCAGGCACCACCTCATCTTCTGTAGAGCCCTGTCCTTCAGCGTGTGACCTGGGCAGCACACTCATCTCAGGCCGCAGCGAGCTAGGTGCAGGGAGTGAAAGGAAGCCTCAGAGCCATTGGTGGCAGGGGGACCTGGCAGCGGCGGTGGCATAGTGCTGCATGGCGCGGGAGGACTATTCCTTACAGGAGGAGTTGAGGCGCAAAGGGAAGCGCGCGGGGCTTGCCAAAGCTGATTGATCCGCGGCCTGTGGTCACTGGGAAATGAATGGTGGCATCAACAGTGAAAGGTGAAATTTTAAACAGACTTCAGTTGAACCTCTGCTAAGAGGCATTATATTGGCAGAAACCTCGATTCCTTAAATTGGCCTTCAGTCTTGCTAACATCTAACAATCTGTACGTGTTGCAAAGAAGTCTAGTTTTTCTACCATAAAGAAAAGTTATCTCTGATAGGGAGTCCAAGCTGGTTTTTCACAAAAATTGAACTAATACTGTTACTGTTTATTTAGGCTAACTTTTTAGCCATGCGATTGCCTCTAACAGTGCTGTGCCTCCCGGGGAATGGCTGTCTCCCACCGCTCTGAAGGCTGTCACCCACCCGCTTGCTCTGCACCCCCCCTCCGCTCCAGACTCAGCCCGAGTCTCAAGTGTTTGCCCTGTGCAAGCCCTGTGCACGAACAGATGTGGGAGCCACTCATTCCTCTCCACAGCCTCTCCACCCACTCCCCCAGCGTGCCCAGGAGTACTCGGGGGTTGCAGTGTGTCAGTAGTACAACACCACACCGGACTCTTGCACCTGCGAGAGCCTGAGGCCACATGTGTGGTCAGCTCTCTGTAGTTGGGGTGTCATAAGGAAGGAGTCACCCATACAGAAGCTGTCATTGTGCAGTTTGGGGTTTTTCATAAGTTGGAAACGTTGTCATGTTTTCAGAGTGAGGCCCTAGCAGGTAGACTGCGCTCGCATAGCACAGTTTCCTCCACGGTTTTGCCCGCGCGTCCAGTGCTGCGTGGGTCCTGTGACTGACGGCGTGTTTTCTTGCAGACACCAGTTGGCGCTCCGAGGCAACCTTTCAGTTCACTGTCGAGCGCTTCAGCAGACTGAGTGAGTCGGTCCTTAGCCCTCCGTGTTTTGTGCGAAATCTGCCATGGAAGATTATGGTGATGCCACGCTTTTATCCAGACAGACCACACCAAAAAAGCGTAGGATTCTTTCTCCAGTGCAATGCTGAATCTGATTCCACGTAAGACAGTTTAATGATGCAACTACAAACCCACAAATAGTTCTGTCACACCAATGAAAGCCACGTTTGATCGACCAACCTCATTTTAAATTTGCTTGTCCTTTGATTTTAAATTAGATTACATATGTTACTCTCTTTAAAACACACTGGTCTGTGTTATACATCCAATCTAGTAAGCCCATACTTTTTTCTTGCAAATAGAAAACTAAAGATTGTGTGTCGAACGCCCCGGGCCATGGAGTCAGGGCTTTCTGGACTAGCTGACCACTGACTTAGCAGGCTGTAGATGCTCTTCCTTGTATGGTGACGTACCCCTATGGGCTGTTCGGAAAGTCCGAAAAGTCTTGGAGGCACAGTTTTGGAGTGACCAAATGAGCCTCTGACTTGACTTAGAAAAAAGTTTTTATTCATATGATTTCTGAAAGGAAACATTAAAGTTCTGTAATTTGAGAAACATATGGATGGTCATTCTATACAGATGAAATGAAAGATGAAGAGGCTTCACGTTTGCATGAATATTTCAAACTCTGCCCATCAATTGGGTCTCAAAAGTTGAGAATCTCTCAAATCAATAATAAAAACCGTTAACTGTTAAACTTATCAGTAGCTCAGCTGACAGATGATTTAAAGGCAGTGCGGATCACTTTGTCACCCTGTCCTCATCTCTCCACCATCCTTAGACTGTGGTCTTTCGGGGCCCTCAGTAGAACGTCCCCCAAAGGGCACTGGCTCTAGCCCCAGGAAACACAGTTCATTTTTTCTCTTAAACTGAGGAGTTAGTCGGCCAATGTTAGAATACAGCCAGGCTTGTTGGTAGGTGAAATGTTTTTCACATTATAATGTGATCTCATGGATACTGGGCAGATTGTCTTAGTTGAACAGACGGCTCAACGGTGGCATGGGCAAACAGTGAGCTCTCCACACCCAGTGCAAGCCTCAGAGTAGGCACAAGGCGCCTTTGCAAAAAAATTCTAGCACTTGTTCTAGAGAGCCTTCCACCATTGCCGGTTTCTGTGTAACGCTCCTTCCGGAATCCCTGCTTCAGCTGCAGTCTCTATTGTCGTAAGCTTCAGAGTGGTATATCCTTTGGTTTAAACATGAGCCCGGAGACCATTTTGCAGTCTGCCCTGCACTGGACTGCACGTATGACCAGTTCTCTTGTGGCTGAGACTCAGTGCCCATGCTCCATGCATTTTAACTCCTCACTCAGTGAGTTCCTTGGTGCCTGGGCAGGACAGCTTGGCGCTCCCCTGGTTCCCCCTGCCCGGAAGCCCATCCCTAGCAGGTGTGTGTGGGGGTGTTCTAGAAATTGAGAGGCTCCACCCGCCCCCTTGCCTGCCAGCCACAAGGGGTAGCAGGGACACCTCTGCCTGCACCGTTTATTTCTACACTTCTCAAATACTTGGCTTACCAAAATGTTATTCAGTCTTAGGAATCTAAGGGGAGTGTTGGAAGGTCAGGCAGACACTTGTATTTTATAGATACAGTGAAATTAATTTGGCCTCAGAATTAAAAATAAGCCATGAGTTAAATCACTGCAGACCCAGAAGGGCAGTCTCCAAACACTTTTTTCTCTATTAGTGACAAATACATACAGGGCCTATCTTATTTTCACCTCCCAGCCCAAAAGGAGAGGAAAAAAAGTCACAAAAGGGAATTTTCGTGTGTTGGTTTTTTAGTGTTTTACCATGTGCACGTAAGGTCAGTTAACTATGTCAGCTAAGCTTGGATTTCTCCTTTTCCACAGGTCATGGTCTTGTCATGCACAAGCAGTGCTGAAGATTATAAATTACAGAGATGACGAGAAGTCGTTCAGCCGGCGCATTAGTCACTTGTTCTTCCATAAAGAAAATGATTGGGGATTTTCCAATTTTATGGCCTGGAGTGTAAGTCACCAAGTGCTTGGTCGGAATAACAGCCCATTCCCGAGGTTCTTGTACTCTCAGCTCCTCATTTTAGGAGCACGTTTTCGTGTTGTAAGGTGTTTATAGAAATGTGTTTCTTCCAGTTCCCTAGCTTAGGTTTACAGCAGTCATCTGGATTCTAGTCAGACACTTGCAGGTAGTTTCTGAGGGATCCCGTCTCCCCAGCCACAGTGCCAGGCGGTGTTGGGTAACTCCGTTATCTCCTGAGTCAGTTCAGTCTGGCTCCTTCTGCAGATGTAGTGACTCTGGCTCTCTTCGGCTCTTCCTGCCTCATCGCTCGAAGTTGCTCCATATTGCGGGTGTTACTCCCGAGCCTGAGTTCTCTGGAACTTCCTGACTGTGTCTCAGCCTTGATCCCACAGACACCCCAGTTGCCTCCTAGAGGGGCCACATTTGCAGTTTTTCTTCAGAGACAGCCATTTGAAAAACAAATCGAACATTCCCAAGTTAGGAGCACAATTGGGGTGCTTACATAAGTAATAGCAGCCCTCCTTCTTATTCAAGGTCTACCTCACTTTTCCTGGTTTTAGTTACTTGTGGTCAACCACAGTCCCAACATAGGTGAGTAGAGTACAGTAGGGTGTTTCACGGGGGAGAGACCATACGGCTTTATTACAGTGTACTGTGAGAACCGCTGTACTGTATGGTGAGCCACTGCTAATGCTTTACTGTGCCTGCTTTACAGATTGAACTATCACAGGTATATATGTATTGGACAGAGAAAACATAGTATATATTGTGGAGGGTTCAGGACTACCCCCAGTTTCAGGGATGCACTGGGGGTCTTGGAATGTACCCCCCACAAATGGGGGCTGCTGCTAGTAAAACATTGTAGTTTATTAAGGACAGAGTACTAGAGTAGCTGTCTCTTGGGAATAAAGTGTATTATGCAAGTTGGATAGTTTTTTTTTTTTTTTTTTTTTTAAATAGGAAGTGACTGATCCCGAGAAAGGATTTATAGATGACGACAAAGTCACTTTTGAAGTCTTCGTGCAGGCAGATGCTCCCCATGGAGTTGCGTAAGTTTTCTGTAACTGGGTGCTCGCTAAAATGTGTCTGCATTAGCATCTATTCACCAGCTGCATACATTCAGCAATTGAGCACCCTCTGTGCTCGCTCCTCAGTGTATAGATTTGTACACCTGCTTTGCATTTACTCATTGACCATAGTTTCAAGCAGCGTTTATATACTCTCCACTGGGCGCTAGGAGTAGAGTTACAGTAAGTAAGACAGCTATGGTTTTCTGTTCTGTTCTTTTCTTTCTTTTTTCATTTGGAGAGGTTTTTCGCTGTAGGGCATGTGCACTCACCAGAAGGACAGAGAAACAGAAAGTGGGAAATCGCCCCCTAAGGGGAGATGGCCACGCTGCAATCCCTTCTCCATTCTCATCTCGGGATCTTGGGCATGTACGCACATGTGCCTGGCGTGAGTTTAAGCCATCGGGTCTGGGATTTGAACTGCAGTCGACTACATGGGAGTCCAGCAATGTAGCCATTACGTCAACTGCTGGTCCCAGTTTTCTGTTCTTAATATGCATACTGGTCCAATGTTCATGGGTGCTGGCCTTGGTGAATAACACAGTGTTGTGGACTGTCTGCAGTCATGGGCTTCCGGGTCACTTGATTGCTGGAGTTGACTTTGCCCCTGTCCACACACTTGGGTGAGAGAAAAATTGGTGTCCTTTGGTTAAAGCCCTCTGATGAGGCCTCCTGGCCTTGGTTTCCATAGCAGCCAGGGCCTGGTGGCAAGGGCTGCATGGCCCTCATGTTTGTCAGGGTGGTGGGTAAGTGGTGATGTACATAGCAGTGAGAAGTCAACTGCCGTGGCCTCGGGTCCAACCACTGCACTCACTTCACAGGAGCAAGGGAGTGCCCTGTGCTGCTCACCCTCAGCTTTGGACTTGTCTTTCAGGTGGGATTCCAAGAAGCACACGGGCTATGTCGGCTTGAAGAATCAGGGGGCTACTTGTTACATGAACAGCCTGCTACAAACTTTGTTCTTCACAAACCAGCTCCGAAAGGTAAATGGACAGTGCCTCTCACCCTCAACCTTTTACCCACATTTTCTTAAAGGTTTACACGGGGACGAGCAAAGTCTTCAGCCAACATTTGGGCATGGCCTCCCTGTGCCACGGGGCACTGTCTCCACACAGCCTTGCTTTTTGTTGCCTGTGTTTATTTCCTACTGCTTGGACCCTTACTTCGGGCTAACTTGGGAAATCCAAAACTTACCTGTGGCAAACATAATTGTACAGCTTCACTTCAATTATGCTGGAGACGAATATAAAATATAACAGTTCAAAAAAGATAAGAAAACAGCTTCTGTAAAGTTGCCTTCACAAGGGCTGAGTTGAAAATTGCTGGCTATGAAGTCTAATTTTCACCTCTTGTAACTTACTATTCTTTCTTTCTTTCTTTCTTTGGAGAAGTTTTTGCTATAGGGTGTGTGCACTCTCCAGAAAGACAAGAGAGAGACAGAAAGCAAGAAATTACCCCCTAGAGGGGATGGCCATGCCGCAATCCCTTTTCCTCTCAGGATCTTGGGTACACATGCACACACGCCCGTTCAGCAACATAGCCATTACACCAGTGGCTAGTCCCATAACTTACGTTCTTAAGAGTACTAATAAAGAGAGGCCAGCTCTGTGGTCTAGCGGTTAAGGCAGCTGGATCCCTTATGGGTTTGAATCCCAGCCCCAGCAACTTAAAAAAACATGCCAGGTACATGAGCGTGCATGCCAAAAATCTTTACAGGGTGGAGAAATGGAAGAAAAAGGATTGCAACATGATCGGGCCCCACTGGGCAGGCAGTGCTTCTCCCTCTCCCCCACCCTGCCCTTCCAGCAAACGCACATGCCCTCTGGCCCATAAAAAGGGGGTGGTGGGAAGAATATTAATCAAAAGACTAGACATTGAATCTATTGTAGGATCGAGTAATTTCTGTGTTGAGGATTTCCTTTGTGAAACTATGGGTGACACGTACTTTAGGTTGTTTTGTGGGGACCCTGGACTGGGTTATGTCTTTCATATTTATATTGGTCTTTTAGTCAGATTTCCGTGGCAGTATATTATGGTGGTATCTGAATGTAGGCAATTTTAGTAGCATTTACATTTTCATCAAATTTTTTGTTTACAGGTATTGGTAAGTTAAAAATTGTTTCACGAAGTGTGAAATAAAAATAATTTTACTGTAGGTAGTGAGTTGTAGGTAATAAAAAAATTCCTTTGGCTTGCTTGTGTTTCTAGATCATCTCTAAAGATATTCCTAAATTTTTAAGTCGAGGATTTGAGGGCATAGTGAAAAGTTCTAGCAGTTATCTTAGCTATCGTGATATTAGAAAGGATACTTTCACATAAAATAAAATTCTTACTATTTCTAAATTCTTTTAGGCTGTGTACATGATGCCAACAGAGGGCGATGATTCTTCTAAAAGTGTCCCTTTAGCATTACAAAGAGTGTTCTATGAATTACAGCACAGTGATAAGCCTGTAGGAACAAAAAAACTAACCAAGTCGTTTGGGTATGTATTCAAGGTCTTCCTTTCCCCTTCTGCCTTCTTTTTAAAGAGTGAATGAGTGGAGAACAGAAGATTTAGTAGAGCATAGTGTAGGTATTTCATTGTCAGTGCTTTTATCATCACATTTTACTTCTTCACCTTTGGAAATAGTCTTTGTGTTAGAATTTCCCTTGAGAAATAATTTGTCAGTTAAGAGTCTAATTTTTAATGTATTGCTTCCAAATGTATGGTTGTTAATTTTGGCTTCCACTGCCCCTGGCAGTAAGACTAGAGTTTTTTAAAAAGTGAACATTTTGCTATCCATTGATAAAATTAAGCTGCCTTTGAATTCTTCTAGTTACCCAAGATAATTTTCACCTAAAGTGAATTCAAGAATAATGGGTTATTATTTAATAATTTAGTTCTGAAATCTAAGTTGCCTCTTAATTTGCTCATTTTGAAATTTGAAAGGGTTAAATGCAGATGTTTATTTTATCTTTGCAAGGTGGGAAACTTTAGATAGCTTCATGCAACATGATGTTCAAGAACTATGTCGAGTGGTAAGTTTCGAGCAATAATCATACGATTCTTACATTATTACGAGCCCATGTCAGATGCAATTGTCAGTAAAATCTCAGACCTAGTTCAGTTAATGCCCATCCTTGTTTAGGACCAAACCTAGGCTAGAAAGAAAAGGCAGAGTCTACCTAATGTTGAGAGCTGGAAAGAATTATTTGAGTAGTTGTTTGAAGGCAAAGTGTTAGGGGGAAGCTTGAGTTTAGATAGTAGAAGTAGCAGACTTTACTTTGTTCAATTGGCATCTATATACCCAAGTTATTGATGGAAGAACCAACAGATTGGCTTAGTTATAGTCCCGTTCCTGCTCTGACATCCTGACCTCTGTGTGTTAGTGATTCTCCCCGAAACTGTCACTAGTCAGTAGCCAATTCTCACCCTTCCAGTCATGATGAAACACACACACACACACACACACACATGAAATGGCCGTTCAAGGTGATTGGCTGGGCAAGGTGTGTTTTCTTTTTTGCAGCACTAGCTGGATTGAATCCAGTTCATTAAATATCCATGGACAAACCAGTCAATCCTGTTGACAGGCTCAACCTCATTAATCTCTTGGTGTGGACCATTACGAGTTAAGTTTAGTGATCAATTTACATGCTTTTCCACAGAGGTAAAATGAATATAAAAAATGCTTCTAAAGGCACTACAGATTACTAATTCATCCCAAAGGCTGTATAAAAGGTTAACCTCAACTGTTGCATGTAGATATTTTTGTAAAAATCCAACCAAGAAAGAAGATTTTGTATGTTTTTGATAATTGCATGCCAAAGGTCATAATGTTTTTATAGTCTAGAATGTCTTTGACCATTGACATTTTTTAGTCGAGTATCAAATTACTGCGTATTACTTAGGCATAAACACTTTTTTTAAGCCAGTGCTTTCTCTTTCAGTTGCTCGATAATGTGGAAAACAAGATGAAAGGCACGTGTGTAGAAGGCACCATACCTAAATTATTCAGAGGCAAAATGGTGGTATGTGATGACTGGTTTCAAAGGATGCTTTAAAAAGATTTTTAAATACCAAGTTTTTGGACTGTTAATACCTAAGTCATCCTGTTTTCCTTTTCACAGTCATATATCCAGTGTAAAGAAGTAGACTATCGCTCTGATAGAAGAGAAGATTATTATGATATCCAGCTAAGCATAAAAGGAAAGAAAAATAGTAAGTTCCATGTACACATGGATGTCTTTTGCTTAATATTCACGAAACATGCCCTTGTTGCAGGTAGCATTGCCTTGATCATTGTCAGTGCTCTGTAGTATTACATTTCAGAAACATGCCATGGTTTTCTTTCTTACGGGGAGGGAGCCATCATTTTTTTGATACTTAGGTGGATTTCGCTATGAGGCTGTGAAATTCCCCAGCCATTCTTGTGCCTGTTGCATTTACAGGGAGTGGCATCGATGACACATAGATAGGGCAGGATGTGTCAGCTTGATTGGCAAAGCTGGCTGGGTTAGTAATCTCACAGCAACATGTTTCTCACACACACACACACACACACACACACACACACACACCCGCTGTGCGTGAGAGCTGCAGCTCTGCACACCAGAGCTGTCCGTCATCAGAGACGTTGAAGACTGCGGTGGGAGTTGTGCTATCCTGTTCTACCCTGTATTTCCTTCAGGATCCGTGAGGTTGTTGCATTTTGAAATCCTTCTTGGAAATTTGGACATCTTTTGTAAAATTTTTGTGTTGGCTTCTTAGTTATTTTCTGAATTGATTTTAGAAATTCTTTTGGAGAGATTTTTAAAATAAGGGGGGAACCCTTTCTATTCACCTGCATATTTACAGTGTCTGGTACTCTTCATATCCTTGTGTAGGTCTGGGTTCCATCTGGCATTAACGTTCCTTATTGCCATCATTGCAGGCTGCTGAGATGGGCTCTCTCAACTGTAGCTTGTCTGAAAAAGCCTTTATTCCATGTCTGTTTATAAAAGACATTTTTGCTGAGTGTACACTTCCAGAGTGACAGTTTTTTCTTACGGCATATTGAAGATATTCCACTGTTTTCCTGCTTGCATTGTTTCTGAGAAGTGTGCTACTTGCTGTCCTGCTTGCTCCTGTTGCGGTGTGTGTTGAGTGTTACTCTGTCCCGCCACCCCCAGCAGCTGCTTTTGGGATCCTCCTTTATCACTGACTTCAAGCTGTCTGGTTGTCTGGTTGGGGCTGTGATGAGCTCTATGTTCGTTTTCTTCGTGTTTCTCCTGCACAATATTTGCTGACCTCCCAGGATCCCTGGGGGCTTACAATTTTCATCAAATCCATGAAATGTTTGGCCATTCTTCACACATGTGGTGCCCCCTACTCTCAGTGGCTGCCAAAGTCGCCCTGTAGCTTCCAGATCTCCTGGTGCCCGTTTGTCCTTGTGTCATGTTGCAGTTTTTGTTGCCTTGTCTTTGCCTTCACTGATCTTCAGCGGTGCCCCATTTGCTGGTCATCTTGTCCATGCTTTTTTAAATTCCAGGCATTTTGTTTTTCATTTTCAGAGGTCTGATTTGGGTATTTTTATCAACATTCCGTCTCTCTTGATATATTCTTGTTCTCTTCTGCCTTCTTGAATGTATAGAATACAGTTCTTAGTAACACGCATTCTTGTCTAATTTTGCCATCTAGAGCTATTCTGTTGCATGGCTTGCATTTTCCAGCTCTGCATGCTTGGTCTTACAGGATGGCAGGCATTGTGGGTTTCATCTTGTTGGATGTTAACCTTTGTTCTGGGGCACAGATAAGTTACTTGGAAATAGTTTGGTTGTTTAGAGGATTGTTTTAAAGCTTTATTAGGTGGTCGCACAGTGGGTTTTAGTTCAGGGTTAATTCGTCTTACTGCATTTCTGAGTTGTCACTGAGAACTACCATGTTTCAGAGGTCTTTTGCTCTGGCTGATGGGACCCAGACTCTTGCTATCCCTACATGAGCTCTGAGGATTACTCTCCCTAATTCCATCCTTCTGTAGTTCTTTCCTTGGCCCCAGTTAACTTCTTCACCCTCGTTCAGCAAGATCAGCACTTTTATTGGTAAGTCAGACAGAACCTTGTGCGGATCTCCAGGCCACGCTCTTTGTACCTCTACGATTCTAGTTGGCTCAGGCTCCTCAGATTCTTACTTCTGTCTCTGGCACAGACAGACACTGGCCTGTCAGTATTTCCTTCCTGCACCACCGCCTGATCCCTCCATTCAGTGAGTTGGGCCTAGCCCTGCTGGTGGGAAGAATACAGCAGTTGTGTGCAGTACGCCCCGTTGTGCTCTTCCATCCTGACCGGAGCAGAGGAATTCTCCCACCATGGATGCAAGGTCAGGTGGGATTGCTGTCACCCTCCACTGGTGGCTTGGCTTCGTGCACTTTTTTACCTTTTTTTTTTTTTTTCTTAAGAGAGATTTTTGCTATAGGATGTCACCAGAGAGAAAGACAGAAAGTGAGAAACCACCCCCCAGGGGCAATAGCCATACCACAATCCGTTCTCCAGTCTCCTCTTGGAATTTGGGGCAAGCATGCACACACACCAGTGTGAGTTTAAACCCCTGGGGTCCAGGACTCAGACTGCTGTCAGTCATGAGGGAGTCCAGCGATGCAACCATTACATCGTTTTCTTTTTTTTTTTTTTTTTTTTTTCAAAAAAAAATAATGCCAGAGGGCACACATATTTACTAGAGAAAGACACAGAGAAAGCACCCCTCTGAGGGGACAGTCAAGCCACAGTCCCTCTCTACACTCCTTGGGATTTTGGACACACATGCCTAGTGTGTTTCTTAAGCCACTAGGTCTGGGACTCGAATTGCTCTGTAGAATCTAGCCGCCTTAACCACCATGCCACTGTCTGGCCCTGTGCCTTCTTCATGTTGCCATGTATTCAACAGAACTTCTTAATTTTGTTTTTTATATTCTAAAATGCTTGTTATCTGTTTTCATTTGATCTTTTCTTTTATCTGTACTCCACCTGGAACAGGTGTGTGTGTGCTGGGGGTAGGATATCAGGGCTGCCACATGTGGGTCAGAAGGTGACCCCCCCAGTGTTCCTTATCACTCCGTCCCCAGCCAGCTCTTCTTGCCTGTGCACATCTGTTTCTAGGCCCCTGGTTGATCAGACTTTCTTCCTGATTGTGGCTTCATAAATGACTGTTTTGATCAAAATGAAGTTAAGCCTAGCTACAGCCGCACATGTTGGCTTAGGTCGCTCCTGGGCCCACCTACCTCAACAGCTCTGCAGGGTAGAGCACTGTTGTCCCACCCACTCGGGAGCCTACGGCAGGAGATCCGCAACATTGCAAGACCCTGTCTTACAAACAGAATGGAAACCTTGACTCTTCCTTTAATGTTCTTAAGACATTTATCTGTCCTTTGAGTTGAGTAGTGAGGATGGTGACAGCTCTTAACTCCAGCCTTCACTAGACGCTAAGCTTTGCTGTTCATAGCTCCAGTTACTACATCCTCTTCTCTGGTGTTCCTAAATACGTTCATGGAAACACTTTACACCCGGCTTGACTGTATTGTAATTGAAGCTTCAGTGATCACTTTGGTTGACTTTTTCCTCTCTGTCTTTTTAAAGTATTCGAATCATTTGTGGATTATGTGGCAGTAGAACAACTTGATGGTGACAATAAATACGACGCCGGGGAGCATGGCTTGCAGGTAATTTGGATGTTCATCCTGGTATCCTTTTGTGGCTTTCCCCCTCTATTTTCATTTTTCACTTAATTGCTCATTAAAAATTTACTTGAGGGGGCCGGCAGGTGGCAGGGTGGTTAAGGGTACTGAACTTCCACATGGCCGACTGCAGTCAAGTCCCAGGCCTGGCAATTTGCCTTCTCACTTTCTCTCTCTTCATTCTGTCCTTCTCTGGTCATATTAAAATAAAAAAACTAAATAAAGTTAAATAAAATAATTCCTTAAATAAATTTACTTGGACCTTTGCGTGTGTTTCTGGTATTTAGAATATAAAAAGATTTTGTTTCTTATAGAATTAGTGGGTAGTTTAAGGGAGGGTGCAAGAGGCTGGAGAGAGCCGTCCCCTAACAGGTTGGAGCTTTTGCCATGGTATGTCGGACGTTTCCTTACTTGTCTTTTATCTTATTCTTCACCTCCTACTGTCAGAGATGTTCCTCAACCTCTCCTGGTTGTCAATGCAGTTTCCTAGTTCTTGTGTTCTGGTTGTGGTGGTGGGTTTGCGCTTTTTTTTTTTTTTTTTTAATGAGTGTTCTTTCGGATTATAGCATAGCTTTTAGAATGACAAGTATGTCCTCAAAATACAGGAGCATTGCGAACACAGGCAGTCCACACTCAGGTAGGCGGCATGGACTCGGGCCAGAGCTGCAGCCTGCTGGGTGGGTGGTCTGTTGGAGCTGCAGTGTCTCCATGCAGTGAGCCCCCGCGTGTTTTGTAGCTTCATAACCCGGACTCACCGGCTTTACTAATGTACATTGGGTCGTCTGAAAAGTCATGATGCATTTTTGCATAGAAAAACATAGAAAAATACGTCATGACTTTTCCGACAACCCCACAGTAAAAATGTTCAGACCCGTCTGTGCTTTCCAAGCCTGCCAGTTCCTGGCGTATTAGGTTGTGAATGTACCTGGTTCGCATGGCCCACAGGCCTGCTGTTCTCCTGCTAGGTCAGATCACTCAGGACACTGAACTGGATCTGAATGTCACTTTGCAAACATTAATTAGAACTTTGTCAACAGTGTGTACTTATAAAACAATTTTAGCCAACTGACAAGAATTGTTCTTATCCACACTGGATATTTTGGTATGTGGGTGAGCAAATCATCTATTTTAGAGTCATAGCCTCAACGAACAGTGATGGAAAGACTGAATGCTTTTCTCTTCGAGATATTTTAAAAACTTGCCATTCTTTTTTGAGTGGCTATTTGCTATAGGGCGCCTGCACTCGCCAGACAGACAGAGAGACGGAAAGTGAGAAATCACCCCCCAGGGGGGATGACCACGCCACAGTCCCTTCTCCTTCATTCTCCTTTTGGGATCTTGGGCACGCACGCACGCGCGCCTGGTGTGAGTTTAAGCCGCTGGGTCTGGGACGCCAACTGTGGTTGGTTACACGAGAGTCCAGTGACAGCCATCATGCCAACTGCTGGTCCCAAAACATGCTATTCTTTAGTGTGGAGCAGGTTGTCCCAAAACATGCTATTCTTTAGTGTGGAGCAGGTTCCTGGCTTTTTGTTTATACTTCTAGAGACACCCTGCCTTAGATGTGCTAATGCACGCCAAGAATATCGCCAGATAGGTGTGTCTTGGCAGCCTCCACTCCCCAGGGCCTCCTCCCAGACGTTAAAGTGTGATTTACAGCCAACAAGAGGTCTGAGTTGTAAACACAGCTGTGAACCAGACCTGCCACAAAGGCCATGCGTGGCACGCTAGCACAGATACGGGCAAGGAACTAGAGGGCTAGAGAGGGCATCTTGTAGCACCGACCCTGGCAGTCACTGTGGACAGGCCTGTTTTACCAAAGGGCCTTGCTGATGGACTTGGAGCACTTTCTAAAAAGTCGGTCTGGACAGTAAGCCCTGGGTGAGTCCTCCCTCAGCCCCCACCTCCCCCAGTGCATGAGGTCTTACGTGAATATTGTAAAAGAGCCCAGGGAGCAGAGGCTTTTCTTTTATCATCCATCTACTGGAAACTTCACTGGTAGTTGTTCTGTTCCAGGGTTCTATAAGCATAGCTACAGTTTTCTGCTTCTCCACGTAGTGATTTCTCCGTGGGTCCCCATGTTTTTCATAATGTTGAGTGACTATGATACAGTAGCAAATGGCTGTCTCAGTCTATATAGCTGTCCCTATGTTGTTGGACACAGGTTTAGGACATAATTCAACATAAGAGAGATTATCTCACATGTCAGTGCAGTGTCATGGTTAGAAAGAGCCCTGATACAGACCTAAACAAGATAGTTTAAAGGCATCCTACTTTTTTTTTTTTTTTTTTTTTAAAGGTTTTTGTCTTAGGGCATGTATGCTTATGCTCACCAGGGAGAAAAGAGACAGAAATAGTGAGGGGGAAATGAGAAGTAATCCCCCAGGACAATGACTGCGCTGCAATCCCTTCTCCTCCCGGATTCTTAGGCATGCACACACATGTGCCCAGTGTGAGTTTCAGGCCATCATGTCTAGGACTCGAACAGCGGTCAACTATGTGGGAGACCAGCAATATAACTAGCAAGCCATCTGCTGGCCCCAAAGCATCTTACGTGAGCACTTAAACTTCCTACCTTTGCAGTCCCTGAAAATGCTCTGATCTTGTTAAAATGATGTTGGGCTTTCATTGCTTCACATAATTAGAGGTGGACTAAATCTACATTTCTTTTTTATTATTCAGGAAGCAGAGAAGGGTGTGAAATTCCTCACATTGCCACCAGTGTTACATCTGCAGCTGATGAGATTTATGTACGACCCTCAGACCGACCAGAACATCAAGATCAATGATAGGTAATCCGACTATCGTAGGTAGAGTGGCAGTGCTGGCGTCTGCTGGTGTCCGTCAGGTGCTTGGGCAGGGGCCCAGCTGTGGGCCTTGTTTAGGCTTTGCCTCTTCAGTGTTGTCTGATTTACATAGGTTACCTTCTACCTCCGTGTCCCAGGAGCTGACTGGTATGGGATCATTTGCGGAAGAGATTTTAGAGGTGTCTCTTCCAATCTGATCTCTCCCTCAGGGTAGTGTGGCCACGAGAAGTGAACGGAGTAGGCCGCTTCCATGTGCGGAGGTTGTATTCAGCAGGGTTTCTAACAGGGTTGGTCTTGGCCAGAGGGTAGCTGTTACCACTAACATGGCAGTGCATTTGTTAAGTGGGGTTCTTCAGCATGTCCTCACATGTCAGATGAAGCCGACTTCTGGAATGTGCTCGAGGAGATGCGCAGGTGTGCCCAGCACAGGTGGTTTCCAGGTCCTTTACCGACAGGGTACAAGGTCATTAGCACACAAGCGATCTGATTTGGAGCACAGAATCCTTCCTCTGGTCAGTGCGAGCCCCGGCTGCATACCAGGCAGAGGTGGGTCTGTCACCCTCACCTTTGAGGGAAGTAACCAGGTAGAACACTGGCTCCCAGCTGACTCTGCCGGCCAGTTCTGCCTCACTGAGGAATAGACAGAAACCACCCCAGGGGGTCTCACGGACTGTTAGCCTCCAGACCAGTCCACCTATTGCTACATTGTCAGACCTCCGCCTCGTTTTTTGTTTTTTATTGGGATTGGATTAGATTGTCAACATTTTTAAATATGTGTTTTTATATTTTCCTATTTAATCCGTATTTTTTAAATTATGAGATTTCACATAAATATCCCCATTTTTGGCATCATTTAGGAAATGAGATTTGGCAGCCTGGAGTCAGAATTCCTGAGGGTGACTGAGCTGGGCAGAGTGGTGGCTGCCCTCAGGTGCATCACTTCCCCTTCCTGCCTCAGAAGGCACTCGACTTGGCACCCCTGTCGATGAAATCGATCAAGTAAATAAAATTGTATGAAGCCAATAGTTTCAAACAAGTCAAGTCACTGTGTCTATAGAAGTCAGAGTAGAGAATCTTTTCCTATTAAAGTGTCATTCCTCTCCAAATTTGATTTTTCCATCATTTCTAAAATTGCAGTATATTGCCAGTTATCTAACTAGACCTTTAGAATTGTTGGTGTATTTTAAATTATCCACACCTTAGAAAATTGAGTTTGGGCCAGCCAGTGACATGGCAGGTAGGCAGCTGTATCTCACATGACCGACTACACAGTTCAAGTCCTGGACCTGGTGGCTTGAGAAACATGCCAGGTACACGTACATGTGTGCCCAGAATCCTGAGAGGACAGAAGGGATTGTGGCTTGCCATACCCTGCCCCCTTGGGAGCGATGCTTTCTCACTCCCATCCAGCAAGCACACGTCCGATAGCAAATACTAAGAAAAAGAACATTCTCAATGTAGTGACAGTTGGTGACGTGGTGGTGAAGGTGGATGGATCCCACATGTCTGACTGACGACACACTTTGAGTCCGAGAATTAAAATTTTACACCATGCATTTGTGCTCAGAATCCTGAAAGAGGGAGAAATGGAGGAGAAGGGATTGCGGTATGATCCCCCAGGGAGGTGCTTTCTCAGTCCTCTTGTTCTAGCTATGTCTCTGGTGAGTGCATGCATCCTCTAGCAAGTTAAAAAACAAAACTTCTGTAAAAGAAAATTCATTGTGTATACTTACTACGAGACTGACTGTTGTATAATGTCCTTGGGTTTAAAACTCTGTTAGATATCTCAGTAGGTTTATATTGACATACGAATAATTCATTTGTTATAGTAGGTTGGAGCTACCTTAGAAGTAGTTCAGAGGCTTCCTAAATCAAATTCATACATTTTCCATTAAAGACGAGCCATTAAACTAGAAAAACTTCAGGCAAATAAAATAGAGGAATGCTATATATAAATGAATGTTTAATTTCTTTAAAAATGTTTTTAAATAGGTTTGAATTTCCAGAACAGTTACCACTTGATGAATTCTTGCAAAAAACTGATCCCAAGGACCCTGCAAATTACATCCTTCATGCAGTCTTGGTTCACAGTGGTGATAATCATGGCGGACACTACGTGGTTTACCTCAACCCCAAGGGGGATGGCAAAGTAAGTGCGGGCCTGCCTCCAGCGTGGCTCTCTGTGGGGCGTTGGTGCTGGAGCTGAGCTCGGGCCTTTCTGGTTCCTATGCAAACTGTTAGCTAAGGAGTCCTTCCTGGCCTCTGATTGATCTCGAAGCTCTCTGGCGGCTAAGTGCTCTTTTCCTGTCCATTTAATTGCTGACATTTTAAAGGTAAATAGTAAGTTAATGATTGTACTTTTATTTGTTAGCAGTGAACACTGGCCTTTACAGAACCACTTCCTATCTAATTCAAGGCACTTTTCTGCTTTATGGATACTAATAGCACGGTTATCCACGGCCAGGGTTTGACCAGTAGGTTACCCTGGGCACATTTCATTCTGGGCCCGCTCTTTCTCTGCGGTTTCCTTTTTTGCATGGCTCTCATTACACAGTCTTCTCCATAACCGGGTGGAGTGTAGAGGGTATGATGCCCACTGGGCAGATGAGGGTCTTGGAATCTGCCTGCAAGACCACAGGGCCTGGAGTAACAGAGCAAGGGTCCCACCCACTCCGCTCCTGCCAGCGAGTTTGGTGAAGGATTCCTGTTACACGAAGGCCACCAGGAGCTCTGTTAGCTGTAGCATTTGTTACCATTTAAAGGACTCACTCCAGGATGAAGAGATTAGGATATACGTGTTCATAGAGGCGGGCCTTTTAAAAGCCTGACCCTCACTTGCTGTGTGATAATGTGTCATGGGATAGAGTAAAACATCCTGCTTAACTTTATGATCACATTATAAAGTTTTCACCAATACCAGCTAAATTAGGTATGCTCGGTATGACATTTTACAAGTTCTATGAGGAGCTAGTCGCCTCAGTAGATTGAGCCTAAGTGGAAAGTGGGCTGAGGTGGTTACAGAAATTGCCCACGGGTAAATTCTTGGAATTCGCACAGCGTGTTGAATGAGGAGGACAGAAGCTCTGCCGAGTTCTGCAAGAGGGCTGCCCTCCGTTGCACACCAGCGGCCTAGGTTTGTTGGTACGGGGCTGCCGTGGTGCCGGGCCCTGTCTCTGCTGTCTCTGCTCAAGCTCGTGCTTTCCTTGCAGTGGTGTAAATTCGACGACGACGTGGTGTCCAGGTGCACTAAGGAAGAAGCCATCGAGCACAACTACGGGGGCCATGACGACGACCTGTCTGTGCGACACTGCACCAATGCGTACATGCTGGTGTACATCAGGGAGTCGAAGCTGAGTGAGTACATGCTTCCCGTGAAGCTTTGCCATGTGCTGTACCATGCCCCGACCGCCTTGGCACCTGGCCTGAACGGTGGTGCACACACACTCAGTGTGCATCCCGCCTCGTCCACAGCATCCAGAGCAAGCTTGATGGGACGTGCGGGTTATCATGTGGACCGTGGCACCCCGTCGTCTCACTGTGGTGGATTGTTTGTCAATGATAACCTCGAAGGGGGGCCCTGTGCAGAGGGGAAAGCAGAACTAGCACCAGGTGGGCAAGGATGCCTTTTTCCTACAGGTGAGGTTTTACAAGCTGTCACGGACCACGATATTCCTCAGCAGTTGGTGGAGCGGTTACAGGAAGAGAAGAGGATTGAGGCTCAGAAGCGGAAGGAGCGGCAGGAAGCACATCTCTACATGCAAGTGCAGGTCAGCCCCAGCCTCCTGTGACCCGCAGTAGAGGGGCAGCGGGTGGCCACCCAGAGAGGGACAGCTCCACGCGTCTCTGCCCTGAGCTGCACTGAGCAGCAGGCGGCTTCTGGGCAGCCGGCAGGGACTTCCCAGTGACTGCTCCTG